AACTTATAGAGATTTCGTTTTGACTGTAAGTCACTTTTTGGTTTTCAAACATACTTGATCTTTTCTTGAACAGAAGCTGCTGGGCTTTGGTAACACATTCTTCTCCTAGGAATGGAAATAAGGGATAGTATCTTTAAAGGAAGTTACTTCTGCTACTTACTTGATAGTTATTACAATGATATGACTGAATGAGAAAAATGTACTGTATCAAACCTTAGGTATGCCTGCTTGGCAGGTTCCTGTGATTGCTATCAGCATATTAATTATGGCACAGCACTCACCTTGGTTTAATATACTTCTTTTAAAGAAAATGAAAGAGAGGAATTGAATGTGAGAACAGTTGTAAGTTATTCTGAACAAAACTATAAAACCTTGCTCTAGACCTGGCAGGGCTATATTAACTAATGACAAGAGTGAGAAAACTGTAGAACAGATTAATAAATCCCTTGTTGCAGAATTCTTTGTCCAAATCAAGATAAGTTCTCAGGCATTTTTTTTTCAAGGAGAATTCAAGGAGGGAGAGAATCAAGATATAGGTAGTAGGTGCATTCAAGCAAGACAGTTTTCTAGGTTTTAGAGGATTTTTAGCTGTTTGTTGAAGCATTTTGGCAGTTGATTTGCCTCTGTAGATGTTTAGCAGTCACAAGAAATGAAATTATTTTCAAGAAGAGAGCAAAGAAAGCTTTCACAGAAGAAGGAATTGAAAGGTGGAAGAAACATGTCTGTGAACATGAAGGGTTCAGGAGTTTGCAGGGAAATGAGTTTGAAGTCACAAATGCAACTGATGTAATTCCAATCCTTGTAGGACATATTCTGAAAGTTGCCAACTGCATTAGAAATATTTATACTGAGATTTTTACCTTCTCCAGTATAAACAAGCTACTGAAAAGACAAGGAAAGTGTCTTTTACTAGGTATTTAGAGTAACGTAACAAACTGATATCCTATTTAGGAAGGAGATGGAGTTTTTTAAAAGGTATTTATCTGTGACTATTACAATTTTCAACTCTGCAGACATCAGCCTGTGGAAAAAAAAAATAATAAACAGTGCTTTTTTTTTGCATTTATAAGAACTGGGGCTATAACATGTCTGCTCTCTGACAAACTCATGGCTTCTTTATTTAACTGAAAGTAATCAGTCTTTCTCACAATACTTCTTCATTTCAATACATTTTTACCTTAAAGAAGTAATCGTGGGATGCTAATCCTGAAAATATTTCTGCATATGTTTCTCCTAAGCATCAGCAGCAGATTGTCTCAGGTACTCACATGTGGGTTAAGAAATTACAAAGTATTCCTAGACATGCAAGAAGTGCAACTGTCATCTTTTTTCCCCTCATATGTTAATATAGAAGTAGTCATCTTTATTTCTACAGGAAATGAACTTCTATTTACAACCATGTAGAAAAAATGGTGCACTGCAAATACCAGTCTTCCAAATTCTAACAGATCAGACATGTACAAGAAAACATATAAAATCTCCTTGAGAAAGAGATAAATACTATAATTATTATGGCATTGAATATCTGAAACAAAACAAAAAAAATAATTAAAAAAAGTATGAGGGGAGGAATACCTTTACGTTGTATGTTGGAGGTATAGGGAAATTGACTAATTCTTTACAGTTATTTAGTTTTAAAATTCTCATTGATTATTCTGCAACTTCTAAAAGACAAACTTCACACGGATGGGATAATTTTATGGTCCTTATTTAAAAAGATGTATTTTCAGATTTTTTTATTTTCATTTTACAGAACAACATCTTTCCCATAGTAATTTTTTTTTCATAAAACAGTAATATTTTATTTAAGATTTAAGGGATCTCCAGAGTCTAAATGAAGCTCAAAAATCTTCAATTTTCAAATAATTATCTTAGGGTGAAAATTCTTACAAAGATGTAAAGTACATTCAGTAGATACTTGCTGCTCTCTTTGATATAGAGATCTGACAGAAAAAAAAAAAAAGCCTTATTTCTTGTTGTGCCTTTCAAAGCAAAGCAGAACACTGAAGTTTGGAAAACTCTTCAGACTTTGATGATCACTCAGTAGGTAAGTTATTGGATGGGTGGTGTCACTCAGAGTTGTGGTCAACAGCTAGCTAGTAGTGTTCCTCAGCTGACTGTGTTGGAACAGCTGCTGTTCAACATTTCTGTCAGGAACATGGCCAAATTGACTGAATGGGCCCTCAGCAAGTTTGCCAGTGACACCAAGATGTGTGGATGCTGAAGGGATGGGATGCCATCCAAAGGGACCTTGACAGGCTTAAGAGGTGGGTCAGTGAAAACCTCATGAAGTTCAACAAGGCCAAGTGTAAAGTCCTGCACCTGGGTCACGGCAATCCCAAGACAGACACCGGCTGGGTAGAGAAAGGATTGAGAGCAGTCCTGAGGAGAAGGACTTGGGGGTATTGATTGATGAGAAGTTCAACATGAGTGTCCTGCATTCAGCAGTAGCGGTCATTTTTCTCCTTCTTAGTAGATGGTGCAGTGCTGTGCTTTTGAATTTCAGCCTGGGAGCAGAGCTGATAACACCAATGATTTCAGTTGTTGTTCAGTAATGTTTACTCTGACCAAGGACTTTTCTGAGTCTCATGCTCTGCCAGGGAGGAGGGGAGGCTAGGAGGAAGTAGAGACAGCACATTGGACCCAAACTAGCAAAAGAGATATTCCATGCCACAGCACGTGATGCCCAGTATATAAACCGGGGGCAGTTACCTGGAAGGGCTAGATCACTGCTCAGGGTGGGTTGGGCAAGTGATGAGGTGTTGTATTCTCTTCCCCTGTTATTTCCCATATCATTATTACTATTGGTGGTAGCAGCAGTGGTTTTGTGTTATACCTTAGTTACTGAACTGTTCTTATCTCAACCCACGGGAATTACATTCTTTTGATTCTCCTCCACATCCCTTCGGGAGTGGGGGTAAGGAAGGGGGGTGGGGAATGAGTGAACGGCTGCGTGGTTCTGACTTCTGGGCTTAAACCACGACATATTCATCAATATACTTATTTAATAGTTAAAACTGTAATTTTTAGTTGTCTAGCAACCCTCACTGGTCATTGATAACGAGGAGGACATTGCTGTCACTGGCAACAAGTGGCAGATTCACATTCAGAATTAAGAAAGGGTTAAACCAAAAGTGCTGTTGCAGAGGAAGGCATTTGCAGCCCCTGCAGAACAGGGTGAACAACAATGAGGAAAAAGAAAAAAAAAAAAGGAAAAAGAAAACCAAGGGGGAAAAGAGGGGATCTCACGCAGCTCCTGTCTTTGAGCATGGGATGGGTGCTGGGGCAGGCAAACAAGTGGGAGCAGATATGTTGACAGACAGGACTGAGGGGTTGTTGAATAAATGTGGACAGGAGTGAAGGAGGAAGCATGGAGAATATATAGGAATTGGGAACAGGTAGAAAAGAGAAAGCTGGGTCGTGCTATAGCCACAGCTGTGGTGGTTGCTCTGAAACTGGAGGAGGAAAAATGTTGGGTGGAGGCGGGGGAGTGGGCTCTTCTTCTGTGGAACAGGATTGGTGTGTGCGCTACGGGGAGTTTGGACGTTGGAAGTGAGACTGCCCGGGGGGGGGGGGAGTGCCATGGGGCGGCTCCAGGGACTGAATTGGAGCTAGACTCACAGAGACCTGGGGAATCTTCCCTAGCAGATGCACTGGTTATAATGAAGCTAGGGGACAAAGAAAAGGAAGTGGATTTTTTAGTTGATATGGGCATAACGTATTCAGTTTAAAAAAAAAAAAAGAACCCAAAAACCTTTAATGCCTTTGGGGGATGAATATATTATGGTAAAAGGGGCGACTGGCCAAAGTAAAAAGGCTTATTTTTGTAAAATCTATTGGGAAAACAATGGAACATTCATAAGTTTTTGTAGAAGCCTAACTCCCCAAAAGCTCTTTTGGGGAGAAATTTGTTAGGACACTTGGGAGTGACCATTACTTTCAAAGGAGGTGAGATCGCTTTAAAAGTAAATGACCAATGGTATATAGAGATGTTAAGCTTAGTTTTGATCACTAATCCTGTAGAGGGAGGAGTCAGGGAAGATATACTGGATCAGATATTCCCAGGAGTATGAGCCACAAATGTACCTGGAAAAGCCAAAAATGCACCCCCGACACAGATTAAGCTCAAGGAAGGAAAACAGCCTGTCAGGATTAAACAATACCCCCTGAAAAAGGAAGATAGGGAAGGAATTTGTCCAATAATTGAAAACTTCCTACAACTAGGACTTCTAAAAGAGTACCAATCATCTGATTTTAACACCCCTATTTTACCTGCTCGTAAACCTGAGGGGTCATACCTGGTAGTACAGGACTTATGGGCTATTAACAAAATAACTGAGGATCTTTACCCTGTGGGAGCAAATCCATATACTTTACTAACATGCTTAACACCAGAGCTAACTTGGTTTACAGTTCTAGATTTGAAGGATGTTTTCTTTTGCCTCCCTCTCCAGGAAACCAGACAGAAAATCTTTGCATTTGAATGGGAAAGCCATGAGAGTGGGTGCAAAACCCAGCTCACGTGGACGGTGATGCCTCAGGGGTTTAAGAACAGTCACACCCTAATGACATCCTAATAGCTACCCAGACAGAAGAGGCCTGTGTGGCCTGGACGGTAAGACAGGATGGTGTAGATTGTGGATCTACAATCATGGACTAATTGTTCAGCCTCTATATACGCTAATCGTAAAAGACAACAAGAATCTTCAGTGGACAAAGGAAGCCACTCTAGCCTTCCACAAAAAAGAAAATGCCTTGATGTCGGCACCAGCCTTAGGACTCCCAGACGTGAGTAAACCGTTCTTTCTTCCTTTGAGAAACAAGGAATCGCCTTAAGGATACTAGCACAGGACTTGGGCCCGTACTGTTGAGCGGTTATTTATTTCTCTAAGCAATTGGACTCAGCAGCCGAAGGATGGCCTGGATGCCTCAGGGCCGTCGCAGCAGTCGTGCTAAACATCCAAGAAGCACTCAAGGGCTAGAAAATGATCATACTAGTGTTGCACACAGTGTCTGCGGTACTAGAGGTGAAAAGCGGGCCCTGGCTTTCCCCACAAAGATTTCTGAAATATCAAGCCATCATGGTGGAACAAGATGATGTAGAGATGGTAACTAACATTGTCAACCCAGCTTCTTTCCTCAGTGAAAACGAAGGAAAACTGGTACACCACGATTGCCTGGAGACTACTGAGGCCACATATTCCAGTCATGTGGATCTGAAAGTTACCCCTTTAGACAACATGGAAACCTGGTTTACTGATGGGAGCAGCTATGTCATCAGTGGAAAACAGCATGGTAGATATGCAGTTGCCACCTGCAGAGAGGCAATAGGGTCTGGACCTTTGCCTATAAACACCTCTGCACAGCAAGTGGAGCTGATTGCGCTGACTAGAGCCTTAGAAATAGTGAAAGGAAAGAATATAAACATCTATACAGACTCAAGATATGCATTTGGGGTTGTACATGCACGTGGAGCCATTTCGAAAGAAAGACAACTGTTGAACTCGCAAGGGAAAAAAATCAAACATGCGCAAGAAATAATGAGACTGTTGGAAGTGGTCCAACTTCCTGAGAAGGCAGCAATTATGCACATCAAGGCACACCAGAAAGTCAGCTCAGAATTAGAAGGAAATGAATTGGTGGATAAAGAGGCAAAAGAAGCGGCAAAAGGTGAGATAACAGTGGAAGGAGCTTTAATTCCTGCTGGGAAAATTTCCCTAGAAGGTAAGCCAAATTCCAACAAAGATGACCAAAAATTAATCACAGACTAAGGAAGAATATTCAATGAGGAGGGGTGGGCCAGCACAGCACAGGGAAGAATAATTGTCCCCTCCTCTCTGTTATGGTCACTAATAAGGAAGGAACATCAAAAAATGCACTGGGGGGTAGATGCCTTATATAAATATTTGGCAAGCAAAATTATGGCTAGAAATTTGTATGCTACTATCCAGCAGGTAACCCTCCAATGTGATCTCTGCCTCCAAACCAGCCCCAAAAATAATCCTAAACCCAAAATGGGTCAAATTGGGAGGGACAATGGACCAGGACAGCAACACCAGATTGACTTTACAGAACTCCCAAGAAAAGGGGGATATAAATATTTGTTGGTATTGAAGTATACCTTTTCAGGTTGGCCAAAAGTCTTTCTAACTAGAACTGTGAGAGCTTGAGAAGAAACAATCGATGCTAAGGGCATATGCCTCAATACAGAACAAGGCATCTGTCATTTTGAAGTCCACCCAGATGATAATCAAAGCACTGTACTTGTATATATTGGTCAAGACTGTGCGTTCTTAAGAACTGCTTGGGCTTTTATAAGGATAGATAATAATGAAACTGTAGCTGTTAAGAATAGTTCTAATCTGTGTATTTGTAATTTTGTTGAGATCACTGGGTGTGACTCTTTGTATTTAGCACCAGTTGTATCCCACCAATTGATAATGTGTAATTACACAATGTACCACAAATTATCACCTACACCCATTGGGATGAACCTTACATTGGTAAGGCAACTAGTAAATCATCAAGACCTAATTAACATTTTGAAAGAAGTCCAGGAAAATGGAAAGAAAACTTTAACTGCCATTCATCATTACATAGAAGAAATGAGCAGAGACTTGCAAAGGGCAAGACAAGGTGCAAGTCACCACTGGTGGAATATACTTTTCAGATGGTCACCCATTGCAACTGGCATTCTAAATAAGTTACTTCACCCCACTATTGTTCTTTTAATATTAGTTAGTTTTAGCTTTGTGTTATCCATTGTGTTATTTGTTTGGAATTGAAGGATGCTGTGACAAGTGATGATTTCGACTTCTTTGTAAAATGCACAAGGTAAAATACTGAAAGATACCTTTCACAGGAGTTTGTTAAAAGAACAATCTATGTATTAGTAAAAGAATTTACTAACTTTATAGAAAAGGGGGACTGATGCGGAGGGTTAATCAAAGTACAGGGGGCTTAGGGTTAAGCCATTTGCTTAATACTCAACAAATGCGTTCTCAACACTTATTGTGCTTGCTGGAACAGGGTGAGAGGACCAAGGCTATTGATAAGAGGAAGGAACAGTAACTCCTGCTCTCTGGACCCCTAAACCATCTGAAATAAGCTTTGCAGTTTGGACAGTGACTAAATCACCAGGGAACATGAGCAATGACTAGAGATGAAAAGTTCAGGGAAGAATCATTTACTTCATCTTGAGGCCTTCGCCCACAACCGCAAGCAAGGACTTTTTGCCTCATTATAATACGAAGCGGGGATAGGTCATGAATATGTACAGGCATGTTGCATAACCTCATGAATATGGAATAGTTTAGAGGGTAAACATGAAGGAGAACATGCGTGCATGCTTTTGGAGGAGTGATCCCCCATGCTCCTCAGCACTGAATTAAGCATACCTACTTTACAACTTTAATGAGTTGTGGGGTCTGTCTGCATATCATAGTCACTCATCACAATGCTGATTTATTGGCTCTCTGTCCTGGGTCAGAGAGCCATATCATGTCTTACGTCCTTAGATGGACGTAAGATATGATATACTGAAACTGTGAGATCAAGAGGAACGACCTTGAGAGCCAATAAATCAGCATTGTGACGAGTGACTATCAATCCAGTCAGATCTGTTCTTATCTCAACCCCTCGTGCCCCACGTTGGGCGCCAAAACGAACTGTCGTGGTTTAAACCCAGTCAGGTAGCTTGTTCACTCACTCCCAGTGAGTGGTGCCGAGCTGACAACAATCGAGGTCCGTGTCCGTCTCCCCCCCCGCCTCCCCGCACCGGGGCTCTCCCCTTCCCCGCTCCCGGAGGAACGGGGAGGAGGATCGAGAGAGTGCAACTCCTACGGGTTGAGACAAAAACAGTCCAGCAACAAATCACCACCGCTACTATCAGCTACAACAATGATAAGGGAAAATAACAAGGGAAGAGAATACGATACCACCGGCCAAGAAAACGAGTTCCACCCGGAAGCCCCTGTCCTTCCGGGTAACTCCCAGTTACCCCTCACCCCGGGCATGACGTGCTGTGGTATGGAATACCTCCCCGGCTAGCCCGGGTCAGGCGCCCCGTCTCTGCTTCCTCACAGCCTCCCCTCCTCCCTGGCAGAGCATGAGCCTCACAGAGTCCTTGGTCAGGGTAAACATCACTTAGCAACAACCGAAAACATCGGCTTCACCAACACTGTTCTCAAGCTGGAAGTCAAAACACAGCCCTGCACCAGTTAACACAAAGGAAAAACATGACTGCTACTGCGGAACCCAGGACACTCTCACAGTTGTTGCTCTTGATCTCACAGTTTCAGCATGTCGTACCTTGCTTATAGCCAGTATTTGCTGTTTTACCATGTATCAGCTGGGGGGGCTTGGGCTAAGGTTCTTGTTTCAGTATACTTTATGATAATGACTTGTAATACAGTAGAATCATTGCTCATGAAACTGATCTGGCTTGTGTTCCCAATGTGGTCATCACCTCTATACTTTGAGAGGTATATAGTAGAAGTGCTTAGCAATTATTCATCTTTCTTACACCCTCCTCAGGTGGTCAACCTATGAAGGAGACAATCCCTTACATTCCCAGCTCCCCCACCAGGCTATTTACAGCATCATTTGAGAGTTCTGAAGGTTTTGAATGGCCTTTGGGTACCCTTGAGACCTGCCTGCTGATTGTGATGGGGATCATCATGTTGGCACACATAGAGAGTGTGTTTAACATATGGCCATTTCATGTGATCCCAAAATTAAGCAGAGTCGGGTTTGGGTCTTGTCTAGGGTTAGATGACGATCTAGGAGGACCAAGAGGTTTTCCCCAAGGCTGGACAATCATGAGTGGCAGGTTGTGTGGGATACTATGGGCAAGTATCTAGGTCAGTGGGCCCCTCCAGTGCTTTGGAATTTCACCAGTGAACAAGTGCAAAATCCAGAAAAAATAGTAAAACACTTAAATGAAGTGTGATGTCATTCTGGTCATATCAGAGAGGGACAAATCATGGCAACGTGCTGGAGCTTGGCTTATGCTTACAGGGCCCTGTTCAAAAATATCCAGCACTTTCAAAGGGAAAAAAATGTCTGTGGATCTAATGGCAAAGCACCAGACAGTGCAGCTACTCCAAGTACAGCAACTCCAAAGACAAGTACAGCAGCTACTCAAACTCCAACCACAACAGTGCAGCTACCCCAGCTTCAAGCACTGCAGCTACCCCAGCCCCAGTGACAAGTACAGCAGCTACCCAAACTCTGAGTACAGCAGACAACACGGCTAATCCAATTCCAAGCACATCAACTACACCAACCCCAGCAACAAATGCAGCAGCTACCCAAACCCCAGTAGCAACAGGCAGTGCAGCTGCTGGTGCTACTCAAACCCCAAGCACAGTGGTTGCACCAACCCAAACAACAGATACTGCAGCCACTCCAACTACAGTGATCATTACTGCAGCTAAACCAGAGAACCAATCCATGCCAGTATCTGTTGCCCCTGTACACAAGGGGAAAAGCAAAAAAGAGGCACAAAAAGCAACTCGTATAGCGGAGAAAGATGAAGAAACAATGCACTTGCTACACAAGGCAGCATCTGACCAGAAGTTATTATTACGTGAATCAGAGGAAGAAGAGGTGACTTCTTGACCCTGGACCTCAACCAAGCTATGGAATATGCAAAAAGATTTTACTCGTCAACCAAGGGAGCACATCATCACCTGGTTGCTCCAATGCTGGGACTATGGGGCTGATGGTCACAAACTAGAAGGTACAGAAGCCAAGCAGCTGGGATCACTTGCTAGAGAAGGGGGAATTGACAAAGCACTTGCAAGAGAGAAGTCCCTCAGTCTTTGGAGATGGCTCTTGGCAGCTGTGAAAGAAAGGTTTCCATACAAGGACAATGTTAATGTCAGAAAAAGAGTGAAATTTTACGTTAAAATAATTATATAGAGCAATAGAAATGGCTATATTTGAAAAGTTTTCAAATCAATAGTAGACTTCTGTATATTAGAAGAATGTTGTAACTTTGCTGTGGTAGCCTTAGCAGTAGAAACTAACATAACAACGAGAAGAACACAGGAGGTCTGGCCTAAGACTTTGTGGTTTAGAACAAGGAACTGTGCGTCTTGACAATACAGATGTTCATAATTTTTATATTGCTTAAAAGGAAACTTTGTCTAGAAATAGAAACCATGTATGTTAAGCAGCAGAAAATTTCATCTCTGCAATATTGGTAGCTTTGCGAAATCATTGCAACATAAAAGGACAAGCCAAGTGAGGAAGTGAGAATCCTGGTGTCCACATAATGGCTGGGGCCTGTCCAAAGAGCAGAAAGGTGAAAAGGGGAGGAAGACTCCTTGCTTCATCGGGACGACCACCAGAGGGGGCTGCGCAAGCACAGAAGAGGCTGATGTCGTAATGGATTAATGAAGTAGTCCTTGATACATATGTATTAGTTAATGTAGCAACACATGTTGAATATACATTAATTGCAAAACTTTTATGCATAAATTGCGAACACAATGTGACGGGGGGGAAGCCAGATTTGGGCGCATGCCCCTGGTTTCCCAGTGCTGCAATAAAGCACCTCATAGAACCATTCCAGTGGTTATGTGTCAGTTCTTATGCTAACATTATGAGTCGTTCGGCCAAGTGGACTACTTTAGACAGTCTTTGAGGGAATCAGCCATCGTAGAGATGATCTATCATATGAAGTCGAGTAACGGGGATATAACCATAGATCCAGATGAAGTTGAATGTAGGCGACCCATGTGGCGAAAACTTACACAGAATGCAC